AGAGCGGTACACATGTAAAAATTTTGTATCAGTTATTTATTTAGGATTGTTACCTTAATGATGGATTAGCTGTCTCATATGATGACTAAATTTATTTACTTAATTTTACAATCTAAGTATGATTAAATTTATCCATTCAAATAATAAATAGGGATGTTTGTTTATTCGGAGTGGGGCAATCATCACCAAAATAAAGTCTAGAAAATTATCATCTTAAAGAAAGCTTCAGCCACTACCCCAGATTTATACTATCGACCCCCTGCCCTAGGCAAGCACTAATTTGTTTTCTATATCCATAGTTTGTCTGGTCTATGTATGTTACATAAGTGACAAATATAACATGTACTCTTTTATGTCTGGCTTCTTTCACCTATCATAACGTTTTCTGCATTTGTAAATGCATTAGTGTATGATGTCTGTCAACGAATAATATTGTATTGTATGTACATGAAAATTTTTTATTTATGCTTTCATCCACTGGTGGACTTTTGGATTCTTCAATTTTTGGCTCTTTTGTATAACATTGCTTTGGATAGAAAGTTTTCACTTCATTGGTTACTACTTGTCTGCATTACGACTGAAGAACATAAATAATTTTGAATTTAAAATACCTACAATGCCTTGGGTGATATCCAATAAATCCTCTAATAAGGAGGAAAATTCCTGTAAGAGCTCCATAATAAAATGGAAATACAGAGTAAGTACAAGGATAAGATACAGTGAGGGAGGCTGACTTCCCGCATGACAGACTTGATACCACACGAGGCGCTACTAGATGCTATCATCATTTGGACATGTTCTTCACAGACCAAGAAAGAGCTGTTTGGTTTATAGATATTGTCCAAAGTGCATGGACAAAATCGAATTTGGAAGGCTACCACTCTTGTCATAGAATGTAACATAAAAAATCATCTCAGGTTAATTGCATGTTTTTACTAACAGTGATGGAAGAACTTATCAATCACAAAATGCCTCTATTTTTGTGTTTTTCCTGGCTCCTACAGAATGGCCAGTGGCCTACCCATATGGTCAGGCAGAGGGCAATGGCAAACCGATCTATGAAAATATGCTTGTTCTTGGCATGGCACTAAGGAAGTCATGATGAGAATCTGAAGGTTGGATTACAGTCTACACAGTGAAGTCCATCCGAAGAAACCCCTTAGAAGTTTTGAAGGCAACTGGCATTGACTCATGAATATTTTGCTATGTTTGCTTAAGAGGACGCATCAATACAGAGGTGGATTAAATTCTGCCAATAAAACCTATTCTGTCTTCCAACCAACGAGATAGACATTTCAGATGGAAATGTGAAAGATTCCCTGAGAGGAAGATATTGGCACAGCCAGCAAGTTGTACTAATGCTGATAGCACCGGGAAACTAAAAATAAGTCCTTACAAGAAGAGATTAACACTCCATCAGGCTTTACTTACTCAAGGTTAGATGTAAATGGGCAGAGTGCTATGAAGTAATACAACAGAAGGTATTACATCATTCTGAGAGGCTGAAACACACCAATTCAAAACAAGGGACACATTTTCAACCCATGACGTCCAATAGGCAGAGATAGCCTCCTCAGAGAAATAGGTTGGTAGAGAATTTAGCAGGCATTTTCAGTATTGGTTGTCTAAGACATGTTGAGAAATAACCGTGAAGAATTTGGGTATGCTGTTTCTTTTTATTTCTTCCCCTTATTAGCCCAACTTTCTCTTTTCTACCTAGAGCAGTAGTCACAGGACCAGTGCTTCAAGGAGAAGCGTTGAAAGCATGAACAATTCCTAAGCAAAAACTTTAAGCAACTATGCTTTTAAAGCTTTATGCCAGAATTTTTAAAGGCCTAAAAGGAGTGATTTATGCGTTCACTCCATGCTATGGTTTAAATGTGGTGCCTAAAAAAGTAGTGGGATTTATTGATCAATAGGCAGAGATAGCCTCCTCAGAGAAATAGGTTGGTAGAGAATTTAGCAGGCATTTTCAGTATTGGTTGTCTAAGACATGTTGAGAAATAACCGTGAAGAATTTGGGTATGCTGTTTCTTTTTATTTCTTCCCCTTATTAGCCCAACTTTCTCTTTTCTACCTAGAGCAGTAGTCACAGGACCAGTGCTTCAAGGAGAAGAGTTGAAAGCATGAATAATTCCTAAGCAAAAACTTTAATCAACTATGCTTTTAAAGCTTTATGCCAGAATTTTTAAAGGCCTAAAAGGAGTGATTTATGCGTTCACTCCATGCTATGGTTTAAATGTGGTGCCTAAAATAGAAGTAGTGGGATTTATTGAGCTGCTTGGGTCTGTGGGTCTATAGTTTTCATCAAATTTGGAAAATTTTGGACCATTATTCCTTCAGATATTTTCTGCTCTCCATTTCAAGGAATCAAATTGCATATATTAGGGTGCTTCTAGTTGTCACATGACTCTCAAATGCCCTTTTCAAATCTTGTATTGTTCTTCTCTGTTTTTCATTTTGAAGAGCTTCCAGCCTGGTCTTCAAGTTCACCTATTTTATCTTCTGCAATGTTTATTTGCCCTTTCAGCTCATCCCATGCACTTTCTACTTGATACTGTTGTTTTTATCTCTTGTAATGAGTCTCTTGATAGCATCTTTCATGGCTTGTATCTAGATTTCCCTCCAAAGCCTCATGCACTCATAGGCAGGGCTTTTCAGAGCTGGTTGGATCTAATACGTGTGATACATACTGGAATTAAGGATGTGTGGTGCTATCTTAGTGCATTGATCGGAATTAGCATATGACTGGGTGTGGATATGGGAAGGCCCAACCTGGGTGTGGGTGGCACCACCCAAAATATTGTATCCTGGATGGGATACAAGGAAGTTTGCTATTGCTTCTTTCTGCCTCTTGCCTGTCCTACTGTGGACTGTTTCTCCTCTGTGATGCCCCTCTGCCATGTTACCCTGACTTGGAGCCCACTGACTATGGACTGGAACCTCTATAAAATATGACCTGAAATAAGCTTTTCCTCCCTGTGGGTGTTGAGTAGTTTGTCTCAGCAATGAGAACAGGAACTAAGATGGTATCCATTTTCATACTTAACATTTTGAACATTTTTAATATAACTCATTAAATGTTCTTATCTACTAATTCTAGCATCTGGTTTACAACTGGGCTGCTATGAATTGAGGATTTTTAGTCGCATCATGGTTCCTGCTTCTTTGCAAGCTTAAGATTTTTTTATAGGATGTCAGATCTCATGAATTTTATCTTGTTGATTGCTACACATAATTTTGTTTTTTCTATAACTATCTTTGGGGATGCAGCAAAAGTATTTGGAAACACTTTGATCCTTCTATGGTTTTGTTTGAGGTGTTTACAATAGGGCTAATTATTTCTTATTACTTAGGTAAATCTCTTCTGCATACTCTGCATAATACCCCATTGAAAAAAGATGAGTCTGGCTAATGCAACCTGGCACTATTTCCAGTTCTGTGTCAGCGAGTACTAGTCCCCGTGAATCAGGCACATACAAACTGTTGCTCATGGGCCACATGCAGCCCTGGACAGCTAGTAAGGAGGCTCTACAAGATGGAAAACTGTTAACATTATGTGATTTGTAGAAATGTTTTTCATGGCTTGATTACATAGGGTTCAAGCGTGGATCGCATAGGTGATAATGGATGGAGGCTGTCACAGTGCAGCCTTAAATCTACTTTCTATAAACACAAAGATAGTCAGTCCAATAGTTGTCCACATGTATCTGATGTTACATGTTCTTGTGTGACTTGGTGAGTAAACTGCTCTGATTACCGGTAATATTTCCACCAACAAGTGTGTGTACCTGTGAAGACAGTCGTCTACTGTAATTAAGCAGACACATACGTTTTATTTCATTACTGGATTTGGGCTTGCTGTGCTATTTTGTAAAATAATCTAATAAGTTAAAATATAAACAAGGATGTTTTGTTACTTGTATAAATATATTACATATTTTATGTGCAGCCTAAGACAATTACACTTCACTCAATGAGGTCCCAACAAAGCAAAAGATTGGAAATCCATTCTCTAAACCTATAAAGGGACTCCTTTCCTAGACATGAGGTAGTGTTCTCATAGGTATATACTCTGCTAAACACTCTAGTATGTCTTTACTGATATCCATGTTTCTAATTCCATTCAGCTCTTTCCTCTCCAGTACTTTCTTCTCTAGACTCCCCCTTCCATGCTCCCCAGACACTCAGTTATACCTCTTCAAGTCAGGAAATTCACCAGGCTCCACTTTAGTTTCTTCTCCCTATGATACAGCCTGGATACCCTCAAAGTTTCAGCAATTAAAGCCTCAACTCACTTGTTCACTTCTTGGGAATCCCTGTTCATTATCACCAGATGTTCATCATCTTCCCAAATTTGATGTGTGGTGTTTGGAGCCTGGGAATGGTTCAGGTAGGAGGGTAAATCTCTATTCTGTTTGATCCATCTTGAACATTTTTATGTGAAAGATGCTGTGAGAAACCATCATACCCTGATGTCTCCTTCATGGAATCATCAAGGGGAATATTTATTGCAATAATCATCATGCATGAACTGCAAACTGTATATGGGACACTAAGATTTAGGCAAAGGATGGGTGACAAACAAAAAAGATGGGGATCTTTAAACTGAAGGTGATAGGAATCCTCCATCCCAGAAGGAATTTAAGTGGTAACACTCAGGCTACCAGTGAGCAAGGCTAGCCCCGGGAGACCTGGCATCAGTCAGCAGGCAGTGTCATGGAACAAAGCCACTGGAGAACCTTTTGAGGAGGTCAGCAAAAGCAAGTGGGAAATCTATTTAGATTCTTTCATTGTTCAACATTATCAATGATTAGAAAAACAACACATAGGAGCCTTTTCTTATACGATTAATTATGAGAGGGAGGAAAGGAGTGGAGCATTAAACAGCAATGGTTTATTTATCATGCAATATACAGCAGTCACTGATAAGGATCTTTCTTTCTGCAAAGGTAAAAATCAAACCCTGCCTGAGGCACAACTGAGATGTGATGTGCACAGCCAGGGCAACAGGTGAAAGAAGAGTATGAGACATCCTCAACTTCTCCCCTTCACCACACCCCTCCAAGTCTCCAAATGTCCATCGCTGTAATGCAAGCACATCAGGCTGGTCTGTAGGCTGGTTCCCAGGTCGATGATGTTGGTGCTCCTGGGCAGGGCAGGTGGTGGTAGCCAGTCATGGGTTTATAGCAGCCTGGGAGGGAGTCACTAGTTAACCAGGTGGAAAAGAAGGCAGAAAGTCTCAGTGTCTGCTCAGAGCACTTGATGGTAAGTAGTGTCTAGATGGTGGGGTTGGGCTCTTTGCTGGTGTCTTCGCTGTCCTCTACCAAAGATGGTTTCTCCGGCTTGCTGGAACCTGGTTTGGTCAAGCCGTCATTGTTTGGGCCACTGAGAGTTGGTGTGGGTTGTGACCATGGTGGAGCAGAGTCAAAATTATCCCCCAGGTGGAACTTTTTATAACACCAACTCCGAAGCAGATCTAGTCCTTTGGCCCTGTTGCTGTGGTACTTTTGTTCCCACTGAATGGCAAGAATGTTGAAATATCGTGGCTGCTCAAAAAAGCGGAGATAGCAAAAAGAGTTATGAGATGGAAAAATTCGCTGAAATTGACCACGACGAGCAAACTCATCCTCCATCTTCACAAGAATCTGAACATCATCTGGCATCAGGACGTCCAACACAGATGCATAGATGTTCAGGTCCGGTATCTTCTGGGCCAAGTAATACTCTTTCTTCAGCCTCTGTGTAATATCACACTCTGACTCCACTGGACGTGTGTTCTTGGCAGCGCTGGACAACCTGGCAGGGATGCTGCGGGAGGTACAAGAGGTGGAACTAAGGTCCTCTGCAGTGGGTAGAACAAACCCTGCCAGGTTCAGAAGGTCACGGATCATCTGCCCTTTGATGCCTACGTCCAGTGGAGAGCTAGTGTGCAGGCTTGGCAAAGTGTTGACTTCTAAAACCCATGGTTTCAGGTTCTCATCAAGAATGACATCAAAGCCGAGGAGCTCGTGGCAGATGTAGGGTTTCCGGACATGTTTCTTGAGTAATTTAGTCACGTAGCTCTCTGACGAGATGATGGTTTTCACAACAATATCCTTTATCTTCTTCCAGATCGCATTGCACTTGATTCCTTTCTCACTCAAGTATTTCCACAATGCTCTAAGTGACCATTTGTGGCCCTGGCAGGCCCTTTGATCTGCATTGGCTTGGTACGCTGTATTATTTTTATTGATACTGTAGTTGGTCAGGTGAATGAACTTGTTGCCAAGGCTTTTGAGAGAAGTAGAGTATGTGCAAGTGGCAAAGCGGACGAGTCCATCTGAGAAAAGATAAATTCGTAGAGGATCATAGGAAGTGATGTAAACATAGAGCCGCAGATCAAACTTTGTGCCGTTGATGAGGTAGGGGTTTTGTAGATACTTCTGTACCAGGAGGGGCCTGCGCTTGGGGAGCTGACTCCACTCGTGTATTACTTTGATGCCGATGCCTCGAGCTGATGCTGGTGGCTTCACAATCCAATTTTGGGAGGGACTACTCTCCCAGACCTGTTTGAGCACCTTTGCATCCTGGGGTAGGATGAAAGACTTGGGGAAGAACCTGAACTCTTTCTTGCCAAAGTAGCTCTGCATCCGAGACAGATTGCAACACAGTTTATCTTTTCGTCCAATCTGGAATGAGCCTGGAAAGTGGTTATACTTCTGGTACTTTCGGATGGTTTGGAACTCATCACATTGCATGTGGCCACCCCAGCAGCCCAGCCAGTCATCGTTTCCCTTGCTGATTGTGAAGTGGGACCGCGCAACGATCTGCTTGACAATGTTGGGAGTCACTATACTCATCTTCCACTGGAGCAGCTTCCTCTGCTGCCAAGGGAGCTTCTCCACTCTCTCATTCTGTGTACCAAAATAGATGGTAGGGGCAACATTGGGGAAGAGACTAGCGGTGAGGGCTGGTTGGACAACTTTCTCAGAAATGGGAAGGGCTTTGGTCGGAACTTCCCTGCAGCCCTGGGAGACCACTGCCTCTGAGTCAGTGGAGGAGACAGCATTTAACGGGTCACTCTCATCCTCCTTCTCCTGCTCACTCTTATCAGGGCTGGAGCTGATTTCCAAGTCATCTACTAGTTTTTCCATATCGTCAGCCTCTATCTGGTCTGGCTGGCAGTGATTATCCGAACCAATAGCAGGTGAGCCCAGTGCACCATATTCCTCAGGCTTCTCATTCCCAAGCTGGACTGGATGGGTGAAAGTGGAGCAGGTGGCCACTTCAGCTACACCAGTTGGTGGAAGGGGAGAAGCACGGATAGGGGGAATGGGAGCTTTGTCTTCTCCAACTGGTAATGGAGCAATTATCGGCCCACAGGCAGCCCTGGGGCTGAGCCTGTTGGCATGTGAGGCAAGGAGGTAAGTGTTAGTCTTTTTGGTACAGCGGTCTCTACTGTCCAACCCTGTGGTGTTCAATGCTCCAGGGAAGATCTTCCTGTCCAATCTAGCATAGCCTTGAGAAAACTGCTTGCTGACCAAAGGTGGTTTCCACCTCCGACTCCTGTTGAGGAGGCTCCACCCGAAGTTTGAGTTTAAAGAACAAGATTGTCCAAGTTGGGAGCCTTGCTGTGGCTTTTTTTCAATGTCCTTTGCAGCCAATCTCACAGCCTCAGTGAATCGAGGCTCTTTAGCTGGAGCCTGGCAACTGGAGTTATCATCCAGTCTACAGGGGTGTGTTTGTGCACAATTGTACTGGGAAGGGGCAACACTGATGGGGGATGCATTGAAGGAGCTCGAGGTAGGCACGGTAATATGGGCACTAGTACCATCTCTGACAGTACGAATGCTTGTGGTCATGTTATAGTCAAGAATGCGGGGTGTATAGTTTCTAGTAGTACCCAAATGATGCAATACAACATGGTGAGTCTCGGGTGGGGGTACTGCTTTTAAGCCCTTTGTGCCCTTAGACAAAGGCACTTCAATGATGTTTGGCCGCAAGAAGATATTGGTGTTCAGTGTAGGCTTGCAGGGCTGAGAAGGTGCAGCCTTTCCCGGGATGGCAGGGTCCAGGGTCCTCCTTGAGGATTTTCTTGCACTTACTTCCAGTGAAAGGCATGAATTTGTGGTTAGGGGTGGTATGGATGGGGCCACGGGGAAGAAGGTGGAAGAAGTGTTTATATCCTCAGAGAGAATGACAGGGGGCCTCCTCTGAGGGACAGGGAAGGGCCATTTGTCTGATGGGATCGAAGGGAAGCCTGAAGACTCCAGTTGCTGGTATGGCTTATGCATACTGTCAGAGCGGTGGCACTGCAGAGTACTGCTGAACAAGCTCGAGAGAGAATTCAAGTCATTAGTGCCCTTCTGGCCTGCCATTGCACCTGTGCTGCCAGAGCTACCTAAATACATAGGGCAAGAGGATTGCCCTGGCTGGGGTGAGAGCCCTAAGAGGTCTGGGCACAAACCTGCTGATGCTGTGCCAGAGGGTTTCTCGTCCAGCTTCGAGGTTGGTTTTACCCCGCGGTGGGCCCGAGACCAGGCTCTGCTCTCCGAGGGCTTCTCGGGTGGTGGGGCAGGCACTTTCCCTAAAACACAGATAATCTTGTATCTGTTGCTGCCGCGCAGGCCATTACTATAGTCCTCTTCTCCCCCTGAGGCCATAAATAGTCCACTTCACAGCCACCTGGACCTGCCGTCAGGCTTAGGAAAGACACCACATATAGTCAGGAGCACTCTTGGAGACTGTCAGCTGTCTCTGATGACCAAATAATACACCTCAGCTGACCCTCTAATCAGCAGCTCGCCAGTAACTTACTGGTACATTTTAGGGATACAGTACAGTTATATTCATTGTTGGGATCATGTACCTCTACATGGGAAGTCTTGATTCTCGTTTTTTCCCCTTACCTCTGCCCTCCCCTCACCCCCTCCTCCCCTCCCCATCTACAAACACTTTATTTTCATCTTTTCATTCTCTCACATTTTTTTCTTTTCCCTTTTTGTTCTTCCCCTACCCATCACACCTTCCCTGCACCTTTAGCTCCTTTCTTCCCATTTCTAAATGTCTAATGTAATCTTACTTTAGGAGGCTCTTAGATGAAGACGGAGCTCTGCGCAGCTGCCTCACTAGGCCGCTGGGAAAACTGCTTCCTTAGTTGCCCCTATCAACCACGCAATGCCACGTGACGCACGTTCTCTGTTGACGTTGCTGCCACCCAGGCCTAGCGCGAGCTCACAATGGACAGTGGATCTTACAGTCTACTGACCTCGTGCAGTACAGCCTCCCAGGAAGAGAAAAAGGGAGAGAAAAAGAGAAAGAGAGAGAGAGAGGGAGGGAGATAACAGCCTCGATGGATTCAAAAGCCCGTTTTTTCTTTGAGGAACTATAAAAAGGTGTATGAAACTTAGATATGCTGCAGTTCTTCTGGGTGATATTCCTTTGCCAATGTATAGCTTTGGAGAGCTGCTCATGATACAGTGGGCAATTATTTCAACGTATCTTCCTGTGAAGCAAGACATACCACTCCATTAGCTGCAGTGGATATTCATGTGCTCTCACATGTGGAAATGAAAGTGCCATACTGTAGTACTACATGACATTAATGCAGTACGACATGTAATGTTACACTTGGGCAAAACCAGTGCTCCCAAGCTTTGCTTCTAGCTAAGGCAATACTTCAGAATGATTTCATGGAAAGCAGTTGGTAAGTCCCCAGACCAAAGTAAGTAAATTTCAAAGCACCAAAAAGTCACTCATAAAGTATAACGTATTTGTTTTATCAACCATAAAATTTCTATGCAGTAAATATAAAAATATTTTGAGACAGTCTTTATACTTTTGTTTTTGTTGTATAAATTCATCAAATTAAATAGCATGAAAATATTGAAACACGATATGACCTATCACAAAAAATTAGGATGGCAGAGCTTTCTGAAACCACTGCCCCACTTGCTTTAGTCATCTGAGTACCTCATAGCTCTATAGATATGATATGTGTTGACCTCTATTACCTTCCATAGCTTTAGGATATGAAGGTGTCCCATGAAATTACACACACACACACACACATACAAAAAAAAAATTGTAGGAGTTGCTTATACCAGTGCCTTCCTATATAACGTTCAGTTATGATCAAAATATGCATGATCTATGATGCCCTATTAAGCAATTGAAAGTACATTAGCATGACTGTGGGGTGCCAAATATTTTATTTTATTTCATTTTAATTAGTATGCATTTAAATAGCAACATTTGGCTAGTTTTAGGTCTGTACCAATGCCATTTAATACCACCAACTAAATTTTTGCATAATCATTATTTAAATTACTGGTACATGTGTGCAGTATGTAATGTTTACATTCTTTGTGTGGAGTTGCTACATGTATATGACACTTCTTTATTCCTTTTTTCAATCCCTTCCCTTCCTCCTCCCTCCACCCATCTCTTGATCCCCTTGCTTTTTTTCTTTTATATATGTTTACAGTGTATAATATTTACTTTCCTCATGTGGAGTTGGTACATACACTTAAAACATCACACCGTAATTCCTTTTCTTCTTCTCCCCCCCTTACTCCTTTCCCTCCATCCCTTGATCCCTTTCCCCTTTGCAAAAGATCTTCCTCCCTTCTTCCTTTTATTTATCTTTTATTTTGTTCTCTATTTATACTTTAGGTTTCTCAAATATTAAAGTAATGTGTCTTCACCACCTAAATTTAAGATCTATCAACATGTGGTAAAAGGTGAACACCAAATACTCTATGTGATATCTACTTAGGTTATGTTCTTTTCCTCCAGCAATGCAAGGATTGTCGCACAAAGCTGGGAGGAAATTTCCTCTTCAGTGCTCTGGAATGTGTAGATATATTTCTCAGATTCTGTAAAATGATGAAATTTAACTCAACTTCAACCCATAGTTTTGTAAATGAGACTATATGCCATGCCTCGACTCCATTCCCCTTTATGCTATCTATCAGTATATCACATGGGTGCCGCAAGTAGAGAGGACACTTGACTCAGCACTCACTCATAACGTAAGAGTCCATTATGACATTGGCGAGAGCTGGCAGCACCATATGTTACAAGCATTGGCCTGCATCTAATCTATGGGAGAGGTGTCATAGAGTGGGGAGCATCGAAAACATTTGAATTATGGCAAGCATGATGCTTTCAAAAGCACACATGACTGTCATCACAGGATGAACCTAAGTCAGGAGAAAACTACTTCTTTTGAGGAAAATATTCTATTTAGCCTGGATCATCACAGTCGCTTTGCAGTAATTATGCTTTTATTTTCTTCTTCTTGCATCATGCATTTAACTAACATAACTGTCAGCACCTATTACATTCTAAAAATATAATACAATATTTCTAAATCAAATGACCTCAAAAGAAATAGGAGTGCATTCGAAGTTTCAAAGAGCAACTCAAAAGTTGAATATGATGGTCTTCAACAGCTTTGGGAAAAAACCAATAACAATATCTCACTGCACCTAATATGACAAAGACATTTTTGTTGGTTAGTCTGAAAAGTGCAGGTACTTGAGAATCCCTTTTAAAATCTTTAAAAGTAAATGCAATTCTGTTAATGTTAATGGTACTCCAAGGACTAATACGTACATATGGATCAGGCATCTCAGTACAAGCACAATTTTCACCCATTTTATCTCTACTTAGTTTGTAATGAGCAGTGTTACAATGTCCTGGTTGTGTGTACTTCCCCCGGTTTATTTTAATATAACTACAAGTTATTTTCATTAGTGCACTTCTTTCTCAAAGGACAGATAAGGACGCTAACCTTTCATTATTCTAGTTCAAAGTAGACAACTATATGTAACATTTGCCTTTGCCCTGCCAGTGTCTTCCTCTTACCACTGATAACAAGAGTCAAGAAAGGTCACTGACAGAGTGACAATCACGTACAAAGAAGTGGCCACAGCAGTGGGAATCCAAAAAATCATTGGAAAAGATGAAAAATGGATTCACAAATGGTATTTGCACTTGCCCCTGGTCCCATAGTTTAGTCTGCCTTCTATATGAAGACAATTATTCATTAATATTCTGTCAGGAAACAGATGGCACACCGAAACGCATAATTAAAGAGTTTAATGAAGTGACTATTTATAAACAAGTGGACGGAAAGGGAGTTGAAGGACCCTGGGGCTAGCAAGTTGCTGCCAGGGCAAGAGGAGGATTTCAGAGAGAGAAATCAATAAAGGGAAAAGAAGCCCAACAGGAGCTATGATCTTCAGAAGAATGGTACAGTCACTGCCAAGCCAAAGCTCAGCTAGGAGGATGAAGGGGAATTAAAATTCTGATTTTCTCCTCTTTCTCATTAGACTTGGTGGTGTCTTCCATTGCCTAAACCCAGTCAGAAGCCAGAGAGTAACAGAGTGGGGAAGTGAAGAAATTTTAAAGGGCAAATACCACTTAGCATATTTGAAGGCTGAACCTGTGTTTTTTCAGCATTTTCTCCAACCAATCATCTTCAGGTCCTCAGTTCTTTTCACTAGATGCATGTAATTCTCTTCACCAGTTCAGATACCTATACTTGACCCTCATATTTGAAGGCTGAACCTGTGTTTTTTCAGCATTTTCTCCAACCAATCATCTTCAGGTCCTCGTTCTTTTCACTAGATGCATGTAAGTCTCTTCACCAGTTCAGATACCTATACTTGACCTGACATGCTAGTACCAGGGAGCTATTACATCAGCTCTCCATGTAAGTAACACCCTTCTGGGGTGGTTTACTTGAAGAAATACTTGATTAACTTTTAGTGACTATACAATATAGTAATCCCTTATGATAACTGCAGTTCAAAATTTCTACCAATCAACTCCATTATTCAATATTAAGCAGTTTCTCCCACATGATTTAAGTACAGAGAGTGCTTTTTGGATCCAAGTAGTATAAGTCTGAGCATTCATCCATTTTACATTTCATTCTGGCAATCAGCCTCTTTCTATAGCTTGCTGGAATCTTTTTTTTCCATAAAATCAGCTTTCTTAAAGAAAATTTAGATATCATCTAGTACTATGCTGACATTCTGTGTCAGGATAAAACTGAGACTGTAAACATGAGAGGTTGAGCAAGCATATAGCAGAGTAGGGTCTGAGCCTTTTGTCTTCCAATTCAGACACCACAGAGCATTAATCGGGAGTTGTGGGACATTTTCCTCAATCAGTTTTGTATATTTAGTTTCTTCAGGCATAGAAATATACAAACTTGCCCTCCTTTCACCCCCTCCTCCCCTCCCCGTTTACAAACACTTTAGAACCAAGACCTGTCATGTAGAGGTACAAGATCCCAACAATAAAGGTAACTGTACTGTATCCCTAAAATGTACCAATAAATTCAATTATTTAATAAAAAAAGTTTTTAAAGAAAATTATTGTAAAACAACAACAAAAAAAGAAAAATACAGACTTATTTATTCCGCGGTACTGCCTTCTGGAATTACGTTTATCTACTGTTTATCTGATGATACTAGTCTCTCAAGCTATTAGATAGCAGCCAGCTTCTTGTAGCCAAAGAACTTGTCGAATCATTCTATTCTAAAAATGAAAGCCTGAAATGCAAATAAACAAACAAAGATGGGCTATGGAAATCAGTAGAGAGACACCTCAAAAGCTGAAAATAGAAAGTCCATTCAACCTAGGTGTTCCCTTCCTAGGTACCTTCCAGAAAGAGTTATAGACATCTTATTACAGTGATGCATGTGTATCTATGTTTATAGCAGCACAACTCATAATACCTAAAATTTGGAAGCAGCCTATATGTCCATCAACAGGTGGATGGATAAGGAAACTATGGTATTTATAAACAATGGGGTACTACTCTGTCTTTAAAAAAGGTTAAATTTAAGCCATTTGTAGGAAAATAGATGCACTTTGAAACCATGTTAAGTGAAATAAATCAGACACACAAGTTTAAGTATCACAGGGTTTCTCTTATCTGAGAAGTCTTAAGTATAAATAAATTGAAGAGCAAAATAAGGTATAGATCATAAGAATCAGGGAAATAAAGCTTTTGCAAAAGCGATGTGACCAGAAGATACAGAAGGGGGAGGGAGAGGAGGGAAAGAGGAAGTAAAAAGCATTAAAATGTGTTATGTGCATGTACCAACTGTCAAAGATGAACACAATC